ACCGCACTCTCCCGAGTGAGCCACGGGCTGGCCTTAAAACTAAATATTTTAAAATTTCTATATAAAAATGAAGGCAGAGGCCTGGACAGGGGCAGGCCCAAGGATGTCTCTGCCTGAGAACTAAGTGGTGAGACAAATCCACTTAATAGTGACCAGAGAACCAAGAAGAGTTTTTAAAAAATCATAAACCATCCCTCAGAAAAGTCTGAGCAAAAGAGAGGGAAAAAAAATCATAAACCAGGCTAGAGCAGATTTACCTTTCTAGGGGCAAGATGAAGAAGGAAGGGGGTGGATGGAGCCTGGTAAACTGCTTATCCCTTCTGCCACATGGTCTGGATTCAATCTGAGAATGTGTCTGGTTTCACCTACTCAGGGATAGGCCTTGGCAGGGAATATACAGATCAAATAGGGCCTCATCATTCCTCTCAAAGAGCTCACATGCAAAGAGGGGGGACCAACCAGGTGCAGACCAGATGCACCATTACTTAGCTCATCCCATGGTAAATGCTTAGCCAGCAGCATCAATGAACACTGTGGAAGCAGTGGTTGAGTCCTTCCTCAGGCCCCCCAGCATTGTTAGTTAAAATCTGAGCTGACCTTTAAAGAATGTGTATATGACCAGGAGCAGGGCTGAGCAGGTGGCGGGACCATGGTTCAATCGGGGCCTATAGAGTCAGGCTAAGTGCATACTTCAAACATTTGTCGGGCTGCCTCAAGCACTTTGCTATGGTCATCCTGTCCAGTTTGGCCAGATAGGCCTCAGAGTAGATGTATCTTTTGATCTTGTGCCTAATAAACTCCTACAATGAGAGAAAGGGTAATAATAACATCCTCCTTCCACATGACTATCTGTCCACAAACTGTAGGTTGATGCTCCTCTCAGGTACCAGGACAGTCCGGGTCATGGGTCTGATTGGGGCAGCACCTGGCTCAGGCTGCACCTCAAAATGGGTCAAGATCTGGAAAGGGAGGAAGAAGGCTATCACTGTGGGAGGGGTCTACAATGGTGAGATTGACTGGTGAAGGGTATTATTAGTGTTAGAATGGTCAGTGTTGGGGTGGCCAGTAGGGAGCTTCTTGGTTAATGAGGGTAAGGGATTACGGTAGGGAAAAAGATAGTCTGAATATCCTCACTTACACTATAGGCCTATAATGGGATTGTCATATTTCAGAGAATTAGGTATACCAGGTCTCATATGTTTTCCTATGCTTGTCAGAAAACAAGAGCTCCCAGCATTAGAGGGTTAGGGCTCTCCAGTCTGGGGTAGGTATAAGGTCCAGATAACTCACCTGGGCCAAAGCCATTTGCAGTTCAAGCTCTGCCAGGCGTCTCCCCATGCAGCTGCGCTTGCCAAAGCCAAAGGGAAGAGATGCAAATGGGTGGGGTGCTGGACCCTCCCCCAGCCAGCGAGCTGGACGAAAAGAATTTGGCTCTGGGAACTGGGCAGGGTCCCTTGATGTGGCATAGTGACACAGAGTGACCAGCGTCTGGTGGGGGAGGAACACAAACTTGTTAGTTTGGGCCTGGGGTGGTGGTGGGGACATGCAGAAGAGGATATATGGACTGGGACAAAGGCAGGCCCTGATTGGCGACAGGAAAGTTAGCAGGGCTACATTTGGAACTTTTCCATTGCCGCATCACATCCTAGAGAGAGGCATTTGGGCCAGGGCAAGGGTTTGAGTACAAGGCTGGGGCTCAAGAGAGTGAGGAATGGCTCAGCAAAAAGGGCCCATAGGCTCTACTCACATTTTGGGGGATAATATAGTCACCCACATGAATGTCTTTGTCTGGGACACGGGAATTTCCAGGTACCACAGGGTACAGTCTAGGTTGCAAAGCACAAGATGGAGACAGCAAGGTGAGGCTGGGGGCTGTAGCCTCTTTCTCATCATCTGGAACTTCCAAACACATTTTTGGCTGGGAGTAGAGTACTGTTCTTTGCTGTTCTCTCTCCCTGCTTCCATCCACTTCCCCAGGATTTTCTCTAGTTCCTCCTCTCCTCCCCCCCTCACCTTAGCACTTCCTTGACCACAGCCTTCAGCAGGGGCAGCTGGGACAGAGCAGAGGCTGGGGGGTGTACACAGGAACCAGGGCCCAGGGCAGCTGTGATCTCGGAGTAGAGTGCCGTCTGGACTTCAGGATGCCGGGAGAGCTCATACAGAGTCCAGGAGAGCGTGTTGGACACCTGAGGGGCAAGTGAAAGCAACAGAGGTGTTGGGTGTGGGGACCCAGTATAGGGCCAGAATATGGGGCAGTCTGGGTCCAAGGAGGTGAACCCGGCTGGTCTGCATGGCCAGAGTGGATCCTCTGTAGCAGGAAAGTGGCCCCCCCCCAGACTAGGGAGGCTAAGCTCTGGAGGTGGGGCTCACCACATAGAGGGAGAATCTCACCGTGTCCACTCCAGCCAGTAGCAGCTCTGTCACATTCCCCAGGATGGACTGGGCAGTCAGCTGTTCCCGGAACAGGAAGTAGGTCAGGTGCACCCCAGATTCCATCTCCTTCTCAGGCTTTCCCCGGTTCCTCATGGCTACCTCGGCCTCTCGCCGCTCCACGTGCTGCTGGGCTGGATGGGGAGAAGTCACGTGAATGCCTCACTACCCCTAGACAGCTTTAGGCTCCACCATTCCCACCGTTTCTGAGCCTTACCAAATGCAAACATCTGGTCCCAGTCTCGGCAGAGGCGGACCCAGGGCCCGGGCACAAGGCGGTGTAGCCAGTTGGGCATCGCCATGGTCAACAGCGTGGACACAAACACCGAGCCCACGGCTCGGATGAAGGTCTCTGTGTCGGGTGGCACTTCGGCCTCCAAGCATCCCAGGCGCGAACCCAGCAGCACGGCGGCTATGCCTGACCAGGAGGGGGCGCTGTCAGGGCACCCGGGCACCCTGGGTAGGTGCTTCTTATGCCTTCCCCTAACTCTTGTCTTGGGACTCACTTTCTTTCTTTTTTTTTTTTTTTAAAAAGATGACCGGTAAGGGGATCTTAACCCTTGACTTGGTGTTGTCAGCACCACGCTCACCCATTGAGCTAACTGGCCATCCCTGTATGGGATCCGAACCCGTGGCCTTGGTGTTATCAGCACCGCACTCTCCCGAGTGAGCCACAGGCCAGCCCTTGGGACTCACTTTCTAATCCAAACTTGTAAAACTCTCCCGCCACGTCCCGAACCAGCGCGGGTGGCCCAGTGCCACGTCCCCGCTGGCGCCTCAGTCGCCGCACAAGGTCCCGGACCACGTTGTCCAGGGTCGCAGCATAGCCGGCGGCCGCTTGAGGCCGGAGGAGGAGCGGGGCCAGGAGACTGCGGAGCCTCTGCCATTCCTCACCTTCCCTGAGGGGGTGCGGGGAGAGGACGCATCAGGGAGGTGGGGAGTGTGTGTGGAGACAGCGGGGCTGGCTGCTGGGGAGAAAGAGCGCGTTCGGCTGGGGTCGCTAGGAGAGGGACTGCCACTGTTTGCTCGGGGTCTAGAAACCTGCCCCCGCCTGCGCCTTTCATCCCCCCTTCCTTGTACTTATTTCCTGCCCTGGAGGCGCCTGGGTTCCCGAGTAACCTGAGTCACAGAATCTCATATTCCATCCAGATCCTGGTACCTTAGTCCATTCCGCCAGTTCCCTCGGTTCCCAGGATTCTGGCCTCAGAGGATAAGGAGGTGGGTGGGGGGGCGAGGGCAGGGCTCAACTCGAGTTTGGGTTAAACTGACTGGGGTGGGAGCCCTGAGACGCCAGAAGGTTGGAGGAAACGTCCGACCTCCACGACCTCAGCCAGATTGTTTCGGGACCAACCGAAGTGGAGGGTCGTTGGGGGTCGTCCGGTTTAGGGCCGGGAGGACTCACGCGGTGAGCAGTCCACAAGCCCGCTGGCGGCGGCGACGGTGCTCAGCCCAGGGCGAGAAGCTGCAGCGCTCGGGCCGGGGCCCCTCCTGCCGCAGCAGCTGCTCGACGAGTGTAGGGGCGGCCACGTACACTGTGCGCACCCTCCCGAAGCTGGCCAACCACACAGGGCCGAAGCTCGCGGCGCCCTGCACCTGGGAGAACGGGCGCAGTGGACACTTGGGGACCTGGCCAGGGACTCTAAGCTTGGCTTGTGCCAACGCTTTTGGCGTTGGAATAGGAAAGCTTCTGCTCTTTTTTGAGTGCCCAGCTAGTATATGGCCCTGATGCTAACTCATCTTGTTCGCATTTCCCATCCCTAGGAAGTTTAAGAGTGATGGGCAAAAAGGAGGAATTTTGCGCAAAGCAGACATTCAGGATCTCTTTGGTCATCTTGTAACAGCCTGAACCAAAGTGACTCTATTTTCTTAAACCTTTGAATTTAAAAACTCGTTCTCTCCTGTAACCCAGACCACCTAGCCTGCAGCTAATTGCCAGAACACAGTAACTCTTGCTCTCACATGGTATGCAAATAATTAGAAAAAAAATTATCAGCCCAGATGGCCATTCTTTACTAGCTTACTAACCTGATCTTATTTGAGAATAACAGGAACTGAACCCACGGAGAACAAAGTATGACCCTGCTCAACTCCCACCTGGGAGGTTCCTTGATGATCGTCTGAACACTGAAGCATGTCTGCACGTCCCAGCTTGGTTACCATGAATCAGCTTTCTACCACAGACCCCTATGAAACCCTTTGGCAAATCTGGGAGAGGCAGAGATGGTCTTTGAGATTTAAGTCCACCATTTGCTCAGGCTGCGAGCTTCCTGACTAAAGGCTATCTTACACTAACTCGTCTTACAATTATTGGCTATTGAGCAGTGAACAAATGGTCCTTTGGGGTCTCAGTAACCACCTGGGTGGAGCCAAGTCGCAGACGTCTCCAGTGGTTCCATATCTAGACTATCCTTCTCAGCGGCAGCCCCAGTGAATGAAAAAGAGCTTGTGTAGCTTTAAGCCGAAAGCCGGCTGAAGCTACCATGCGCTTCTGCCTCCAAGCACTCCTCCTGGACCTCCACGGTCTGCAGACATCTGCACAGCAAGAAAGTGCTGAGTGCTCTCCTTGGCTGGGTGTCCAGTCACCACCCCCAGTCCTAACTTGCCTTTTTCATAATTCATTGGCATCTATTCTCACTGGACCTCCCGTCTATGTTCTGTACTAATCTTTCCTTTCTGGCATTATCGAAGTGTTTCCCCTGCTCTCAGTCCTGGGAACCACATCCCCTCCTACCTGCAGCTCATGTAGCCTCGACAGTCCCCCCTTGCAGAAAAGTTCGGCCAGGAATCTGGGCGTGGAGGGGCCTGGGATGTCTGTTAAACTCCGGGGTGTTGAGTTGGAGCCTTGGGAGCCCAGTGAGGTTCCCAGTTCAGGAGCCCAGCGTACATGATGGAAAACTCTGGAAATGAGCTTGAGGGTCTGGGTCATGGCCTGGTTCAGAGAGCCCGCTAAAGAGAGCGCTTCTCTGGAGCACCTTGCCTGCATGTCTGAACCCCTATTTAACCCTTGAGGCGGTGGCGACGCCCCTTCACCAAGCTCCTCAGCCAATCCCTTCTGAGTGGTCTGTGCTGGAGATTAGCACCCAGAAACAGTAGGCGGAGCTAGGGCTGACATCTGGGTTCCCCTAGGTCTCATGTTGCAATGACCCACATGGGAGGGGAGGCTTGTCTCAGTTTCCCCTCCTGGGTTAGTGCCCTAGTCCAGCAGCCTAAAGATCTCTTCCTGGGAAAGGTTATTTAGTATGGACTAGGTGACCAAGTCATTTCCTGGTATTCCCACCATTTCCCCAGGGAACCAAGCTCCTTCAGGCCATCCTCAGGAATTCCCCATCTTCCAGATCCTCTGGGAAGGGAAGCATGGAGAGAAACAGGGAAGAGGTGCAGCTGTAACTGTCCCCACATTCTTGGCTCACTGGGCTGCATTTTCTCGTGAGAATTTTCCTGCACTAGGCACATCTCCCCTTCCTCCTGTACCTAACACATGCTGGGCAGAAGGCAGGTGGGTTAATGTGTTAAATGACTCCAGGGAAGGGGGTCTCTTAGGTCAAGCCATGTGAATTGGGGGCTTGAGGAGCAGGAACTAAGGACTAGCCTTGACTAGTCTCCTCTGGGAGGCTTTCTGGTCAGCAGCCCCTTCCTACTTTTAGCCTCAGAATCCTCCAGTTTAGCTCTCTGCTCATCACTCTCCCCTCCCAATCCCACCCCTATCTGGCTCGTGCCAGACAGCTCTGAAGTTCTAGAATCAAAGGTCAACATGAAAAAGGAGAGGGTTTCCACCCCCATACCCTTCCAGGGACTCTCCAGAGACAGCAATTGTAAAGTGAGCACAGATTGCCCAGGTCAGGGCTCAGACAGGGGGTGGATGGGAAGATGGGAGAACGCACGTGATACACACTCCAGGCTTTCCTGAGAAACAGTAGCATGGGCACACGCACACACATACACATTATCCCAGGACCACAGGGTAAACACAAGTGAACAGGTGACTTGAGTCTCGCAGGCAGTTTAAACAGACAGGGGAGCACTGCACTCCTCACTTCAGCTGGAGAGATCCCACAGGAAAAGGGTGTGCTAAGGAAGAGCAAGACCCCACACCTTTCCAAAGATCCCCTCTGGTCCAAGGTCCTTTCACCTTCCTAGTCAGTTTCTTTTGTTTTTTGCTGGCAGTGGAGGGACAGGAAGGTTAGACAAGCTGGGGGTAGTTGTGAACATCAGGGTTCTGCCCTAGGCAGTGCCCCAACTTCTTTGAGAGATCACTGCCTCTCAGCCCTAGCAGTCTTGGCTGGGAAGCCCAAGGGGGTTCTGATCTTCTTTGCAATCCTTGGAAGGTGGGGTCCAGCTAAGGCAGGGTAACCAGTCAGTGGCCAGGCAGGGTAGGATTGGGGGTCACTGCCTGGAGGGTGGGATCCTGTATTCTTCGAAAGATGGCTGGGAAATTCTTTCCTCCATTGCGTAGCACTTTCTTTCCCTCCTCCGTTGAGGTGCCTAGATGTTCCACAATGGGGTCTTCACTCTGGGAGAAGAAAGGGTCCAATAAATCCTTGCCCATCATTCAGACTGTCCCTGTCCCCTAGACTCTCACCCCATCCTCCTGGCACTGAGCTGAGTTCAAAGAATACAGAACCACTGTGGAAAAGGCCTGCACCTTTGCAATTTCCCTTATGCCCCCTACTTACCAGCTCCTCTAGAGGCACATGCTCAAACAGGGGGTGCCCTTCAAAATGGGTGCACATCCAGTTGTGTAGCTCCAGCACATCAGTTATGGTATATACCAGCCCCTGCATAGGCAAAAATCACCCCAGACAGAGGGCTGCATGCAATTGAGCAGCAAGATGATGGAAGTGGTGCCCTAAATGCACCCCCTCTGAATTCTTAGCAAAGGGTCCCTGAGTAAGCAATTCACCCCGACTTCCCTCCCACACTCGACTCACCCCAACTCTCAGCACGTAGGCATATTCTGCCAGCAGTGTGGGACTGATGATTCGCCACTTGTGCTTTGTCCGCTTGAAATGTGGATCAGGGAAGAGGAAGAACATCTTTGTCAGCTGTGAGACAGACAGGCATAGACAGGGCTGTGAGAGCCTGGCCTCCATGCCCCACCTGCCTACCAGCCTAACCCACCAGGGCCCCTCCACACCTGGCCCTTGTGGAAGAAGTTAGGAAGGTGCTTCATGGCATTACTACGAAGACAGGCGATGTTCTGGAAGCCACCTCCAGGAGCTGCGCGTAGGGCCCGAATCCTGTCTTGTACATAGTCTGAGACCTTCACCCGGATCTCCAGACCCAGAATCAGCGTGTCTGGGAACAGCGGTGACAGTTCCACTGGACACAGAAATAGCAATAGATTCATCAACCTCATACTTGCAGGAAGTGCAAAGGGATCAACACAGGAAAGGAAGCCTCAATCTGCAACTATCAATGTCAGGAATGGCAAGTCAGGACAAAGACACCTATATGGATATAGTTCTTTGTTGAAGACCATGGGGGAGATATGAAAACTGTCACCAGGACTGGAATGGGAGGGCTGAGCATACATGTATATTTGCAATTGCTTTAGAGTTTTCACACATTGTCTCATTTAATCCTTATAACACTCTGTGGTAAATTGTGAAGGTGAGGAAACAGGGTCAGAAATACCCAAGATCATAGGGCTAAGAAGGGGTAGAGCTGGAATTTGAATCAAGGTTTTTTCCTCCAAGTACCATGCTCTTCCTCTCTGTCAGACTGTTATCTGTATAGGTAGGAAGATCTAAAAATAGTTAAGTGGCTTGGCATGCAAGGTTGGGGCAATACAGACCAGAGGAATTCAAAAAACAATAGAGTAAAGCAGAAGGAATGAGTTCTTGTGAGGGGGCAGGGAGGGAGAGGCGAGGTGGTGGAATCCCTGAGAAAGACAGTTCAGGATCACTGGCACAGTGGCTAATCTATGACCCTTGTGCTGACCAGCTCACTGACCCAGCACCTGGTAGGTGAAATGGCTCACTTAGGGACTGGGGCCAGACAGGACAACCTAGGTACTAAGAGGCATTTGAGGCAGCCCCCTCCCTTCTCCAGAGCAAAGGCCACAGACCCAGAGTAGAGGGAAGGTGGAGGCTCTCCACGCTGACATCATGAGTGTTTGGTCTGAAGGGGAAAGGCCAACTATGGCCCACACCAAACCTGCTGAGGTGGCAGAACCTAGGTCCCTCCTCCCCTCAGAGAAAATGCCAGAGTGTTACCTAACAGTCCACCATAGCCACAGCCTATGTCTGCAAACTCCACTTGAGCCTGAGCTCTCTTTTCTTCCTTATCCTTTGGATCATCATGGCTACCATTTTGAGTGAGTGGAGTGAAGAACTCTGGGTATAGCTCAGACCAGTCCATCTCCTCCGGCTTCACAGGGCTATGGGAAAGAAGACATGAGAAACGTGAGGTTGAACTGCAGAAGTGGTACTGCGTGTTCGGGGGTGGGTGAGAGTGGGAAGTAGACGGGAGGAGGATTTCTTAAAAATTCTGTAATAGTGGGCCCTGTGACCTCTAGGAGGCACAATGGAAACCACCCTTTACTCCGAGTGTGAATCACAGGCCCATCACGAGGCCCCTGATTCTGTGGGTTAATGTGACTCTGGCCAAGAAGTCTTCTTTCTGGGGCACAAGTTCCCCTTCTCTCCGAGACTGGCTGCCTGAGGCACTGGGATCCTACTTTGTTTATGCGCTCTGTGGGGGAGAGGATGGACTAAGGCGAGGGCAGGATTGCGTACATGTTTATTTTCTTATTAAATCCCACAAACAAAACCGAAATATGGTAAACACACTCCGCCTCTATCAGTAACAACTTCTTTCTCTTCCCAGACTTGGCACCGCTCCCCAAACCAAGGCCAGAACGCCATGCCCCCTCCAAACTGTCCAACTCCGCCTTCTATCAAATGTCCCGGACCCAGCCCCAAACTGACGTCACCCAGCCAATCCTCCCTGGTCTATCCCAAATCCTCCCAACCATCCCAGCAGTGAGAATCCCGCCCTCCTTTCCTCCCCCTGCCCCGCTCACTCACTAGCGCAGCGTATGGTCCGCCATGGGGTTGGAGTGAGCACGTTGCCGGTAGTAGCGCTTCTGGGGCTGCGGGGCCTCAGACCCCGCCACGTTCCCACTCTCGGCGCCCGCCATGATCCCCAGTCCCGGCTTTCTCCACCCAACCCCACGTGGAGACCGGAGGCGCACAATAATGACGCAGTCGTGCACGTGGCGAGCAGATCCCGCCCCTTAAAGACCCAAGAATAAATTCGGCTGGGTTGGGCGGGGAGAACCGTGAGGGGCTAGGCAGGAGGGCGTCTCCGCAGTGCTAGTCCCTAGCTGGGGTGGCGAGGCCAGATCTAGGCACACGAACTCTTCCCTCAGCGGGCTTCTGCCTGGTCTGGGTTGCCATCCTGGTCGCAGGCACCTGTGCAGCCCATAGGTGAGAGGGATCTGGGGATCCCGCCTCCTACAGTAGAATGAATCCTCGTTCTTCTTTCCTCTCCCACGTACCAGTCTGCCCGATCTGACCTGTGTGGTCCTGCGTGGATCATGCCGGGTGTGTGCTAGGGACGCAGGCGGGAGGGGCAGCTCCTCATTCCACCTCCAGGAAGTCCGACTGGAGGAAGGAGGGCACACTCGGGGGGGCGGGGGGCGGGGCCCGGTGCCATCGGGAAGCCGAGACGGCCCGCGGACCCCAGCCTCTACCCCACCACAGATCCGGGATCCGAGCGCCGGCCGTGGTGCCCCGCCACTCTCGGCCAGATGGCAGACCCTGGCTCAGATCCTGAATCAGAGCCCGAATCGGTGTTCCCGCGGGAGGTCGGGCTCTTCGCAGACTCTTACTCGGAGAGGAGTCGGTTCTGCTTCTGTGGGCATGTGCTGATCATCACGCAGAACTTCGGGTCCCGCCTCGGGGTGGCAGCGCGCGTGTGGGACGCGGTGAGGAGTGGGGTGCACCGGCGAGGGTCCGTGGGAGATCGAGACCACGGACTCCGCCTCTCCCATATGGAGACATCCCCGCCACAGTCTTTATTCTTTCTTTTCTTCCGTAGGCTCTGAGCCTGTGCAACTACTTCGAGAGACAAAATGTGGTTTTCCGAGGCAAGAAGGTGATCGAACTGGGCGCGGGGACGGGCATCGTGGGGATCTTGGCAGCGCTGCAGGGTGCGTGAGCTGGCTTTGCGGTGGGAGGGGGTGAGGGGACGGCGGTCTGGAGAAATGGCCACTTCGTGAATTCTTGGGAGAGGGGCGTGCTTTGGGCCCAGCCCAGACCCATCCTTTTAACAGACTTTTTTTGTTTGTGTTTGAGGCTGCTTCTGTGCGCCAGACAGCGCTAATTGGCTTTCAGAGCACCCAGGATGGTTGATTTAGGGGCAAGAAATAAAAATCGGCAGGCCTTGTGGAGGGAGTTGTTTCTACCTTTTTGCTTTTTGTGATTTTTGTGGAGAACACTGTCACCTAAAATCCCCTTTGCTTTAAACACGGTCTTCTGTGAAAATGCATACATTAGGGTGTCCTGTAGAGGAGGCGACCTTTGGGTATTAAACCTCATGAGTGCTTTATAACTTCACTATGAATATATTTTAGATTCGTTGGGATTTTATTGCTAGGAGAAACAAGCTACTGAATTTCTGAGGGTTAGAGTGTGTTTTGTGGGAAGCAGGGGTAGGAATTAGGTAACACATACTTGGGAAAGAAAAAGGTGAAGAAAATTTTGCTTTAGTTTTGTCAAGAATCAAAAACTACAATGGAAACAGTTTCTTAACTTATAATCTAATGGGTAGACAAAGTCCCACACTGAAAACACTCATTTAAAAGCTCTTACTAAGTCATCTCCCTAGTAATGCAAATATCCTGTTCATAAGGACAGAACTACGTCACATTAAGGGAAGTCTTCCCAGAGGCAGGCATTCATTCTTCTATTCATTCAAACAACATGTATTCCAAGTCCCCTATGTGCCAACAATCATGCTAGGTATTGGGGATTCAACAATGAATAAGACAGATTTTCTCTCCCCAAGGAGCTTATGGTCTAGTGGGGGAGACAGGAGAAGATGTTACAGTACAAGAACTATGGTGAGGTATGCGTAGAGCCAGTGGACATGCGCTGGCTGTGTCTACCTTGACTCCCTGGAATCCATCAAGGTGAAGTTCTGTCAGGTGAGAAGGATGTGAACAGCGTGAACACAGCAGACACAGAAAGAATGAAGGGGGTGTCAACAGCAGTTTTTCCATGAAGGATGGGTGGATGAGAGGTAGGCAGTTATGCCAAAAAGGGGTGAAAAGGCATGTAATATGGATGGGAACACTTGCCTTCACTTGCTCCCAGGTTGCTTTCTCCCCCTTTGCTCCCTATTCATCTTCCAAGTCAGAAATCTGGGTGTCATCTTGTCCCTCACCCTCTTCTCTCACATCCCAGCAATTAGCCAGTCCTGTAGGTCCTTAATACTTCTCCGATTGTCTACTCCTAGGTTAGGCCACTGCCGCTCTTGCCTGGATTTTCAGAAGAGCCTTCAAGCTTCCCAATAGGGAAGTTTGGCATGCTCACAGTAGATCTCGTGGTCTTCCCTGACCAAACCTGTTTTTTCCTCAGGCTTCCCCATCGCAGTGAATCAAACCACCATCCACCCATTGGGAAACTTAGACATTGCCGTTGATATGTCCCTGTTTCTCAACCCCATGTCCATTATTCAAACCCTGTTGATTTTACTCCCTAAAAAATCTCTCTTTTTTTTTTTTTTTAAAAGATGACCGGTAAGGGGATCTTAACCCTTGACTTGGTGTTGTCAGCACCACTCTCAGCCAGTGAGCGAACCGGCCATTCCTATATGGAATCCGAACCCGGGACCTTGGTGTTATCAGCACCGCACTCTCCCGAGTGAGCCACGGGCCGGCCCCTAAAAAATCTCTTAAATCTTCTCGTTTTTCCATCTCCACTGACAGCACCCCAGTCCAAGCCACAACCATCACTTGCCTGAATTGCTACAGTTAGTCAAACTGGTCTTCCTGTGTTGACTCCTTGCCCCCACCTAGACCTCTGTGCACTCCACCCAGTGGTCAGAGTGATCGTTTCAAAATGCAACTGTAATCACACCCACTCGCCCCATATCTTTCAGTAACTTCTCACTGTATTCAGGATAGAACCAACACCTTGAGCATGGCCTCCCTCTTCAGCCTCTTTCTGAGCCTCTTCTCCTGTCCTCCTTGTGCTGCCTATTGCCCTTCAAGCCTCTTTTGATGTTCCCTTTCATAGGGACTTCACACAGGCTGTACTTTCTTTTTCTTTTCTTTCTGTTTTTTGGAGGATGGCTGGTACAAGATGGTGTTATCAGCACAATGCTCTAACCAGTTTAGCTAACCAGCCAGCCCTATACTTTCTGTCTGAAACCCCGCCCCCTGCCTGCCATTTTTTTCTTGGTGGCAGGCCTGTGCAGGATCTGAACCTATGACCTTGGGTTATAAGGCTGTGCTCTAACCAACTGAGCTAACCAGACAATCCCTGAAACCCTTTTACCACCTGGTTAATGCATATGCATCCGTCATTGCTCAGGCTTAACATCACTTCCGAGGGAAGGACTCCTTAGGCCCTCCTAGTTTATGTACAACTGTGCTGATTGGTCTCATTTTAAGTTCACTATCACTGACCTCAGATGGGTCCTAAGGGCCACCCAGCCAGCCTATTACACTTCCTTTGTCCACTTATTCCTCTATTCTAGTAAACATCATTTTCTTATTTTCTTGTTCTTCAAACCTTCAAATGCCTCCTTCACTATCTTCACCCTCAGCTGATGACTTTGTTTCTTATCTCTTCTTCTATTTTCTCCCATGTTCCTATCACAACATCTACCCATGTAATTGCATCTGTGTCTGTATGCATTGTGTGCACTGTATGCACCCTCCTGTTACCATGGATGAACACTGTGCCAGCTAAGGTCAAGCCCTCCACTTGTCTGTCACAAGACCCCAGGCCTTCCCACCTCAAAGATATTGTTTCAGCAATCCCCCACCCCCACTCCCTTCTCTCCTGCATTATCAATTTTTCCTTCTCTCTGGATCATTCCATATATATACAGGATATAAATATGCATATAGATATGCTATAATTTGTCCTGTCTCAGAAAAAACTCTTGATACTACGTCTCCTCCCAGATATCACCCCATTTCTGCTCCACTTTAAAGCAAAACTCCTCAAAAGAGTTAATACTCACTGTCTCTATTTCCTCTCCTCCTACTCTTTCCTCAATCCATTCCAATCAGACTTTTGCTCCACCATGCCCCCCCTTCTTTCCAGTTGCTGTAGTTAAGGTTGTGAGGTCATTTCCAAATCCATGTTGTTAAACGCAGGAGTCAGTTCTCAGCCCACCTTAGGTGACTTAGCATTTGACACTGTGACTCCTTCCTCTTTGAAACACTTCCTTTGGTTTCCAGGGCACCACACTTCTGGTTTCTGCTTACCTGACTGGCACTTTTTTTCCTTCTCTTTTGTTGGTTCCTTTTCATCTTCACAACTGAAATTTTGAGTGTCCTAGGACTCAGGAGCAGTCCTTTGACCCCTTCCTTTTTCTGCCTACACTTACTCCAGAGCAATCCCATCACCTCATGGCTTTGCCAATTTTATGCTGATGACTCTGTGACTCTCCTGTTTCTTTCCTTTTTTTTTTTTTAGTTAAAATTTTTTTTTCTGTTTCATTTTTCTCTTTTTAAAATTTTTTTTCCTGTTTTTTTGGTGACTCTCCCATTTCTATCTCCAGACTTATTTGCATAACCTAATGCTTACTCAATATCTTCATGTGGTTGTGTGATGGAGACCTCAAATTTAATGTGTCCAGAAATGAACTCATGTTCTTCCTGTCTAAACCTGCTCCTCCGGCAACCTTCCTCATCTAAACAAATGGCAATTTGGTCTCCCAGTTGGCCAGCCAAACATCCGGGAACCACCTGAGCTTCTCTCTCTCTCTAATATTTCATATCCAATCTGTTGGCAAAAACTGTTGACTCTACCTTCAAAATATATTCAGGATTTAGCCACTTCTTAGCCATTGCTACTGCCCTGGTTCAAACCATCATCATCTCTTACCTGAGTTACTGCAGCCACCTCCTAACTGGTCTCTTTGCTTCTCATCTTGCCCTTCTGCACTCTTTTCTCATCACAGCAGCCAGAGTGCTGCTCTTAAAGCATGTCAGTGTATGCCATTCTTCCATTTATATTTCTCCCATAGCTTCCCGTATCACTCAAACTAAAAGCCAGATTTCTCTGTCTCCTTACGAGGCGCTGATTTTGATCCAAATCCTTAATATTATCCCCCTCACTCACACTGCTCTAGCCTCTGGCCTTCCTGCTGTTCCTCAGACTTGTTGGAAACACTCCTGCCTCAATGTCTTTACACTTGCTGCTCTGTCATTTGGTAGACTTTAGCCTGAGAAATCCACATGGTTTGCTCCACAGCTTCCTTCATGTCTTTTTTTCTTTTTAAAAGATGACTGGTAAGGGGATCTTAACCCTTAGCTTGGTGTTGTCAG